TTGATCACTCCGCCAGGTGAACCAGATACGCAGTGCTTACGGGATGCCTCGACCAGCTCGCTTCCTGAAGAACAAATGCTCCCATGTGATTCTCAGTTTGATGGCTCAACGTCAATCAGTGATCATTCAATGCAACCACCTATACACCCTGAAACAAATCTTCCGCTTTGAACCTACCACCGCAGGCAAGCTCCATCATCTTCCGAACTCCGAAATGCCCGTTCAAGAAAGCCTCATGTCCACCTCCAGGACTTCTATCTCAACATTGCAGAGGTTGAACAGCTCGGCCCTGACCTGCCCGGATCTATACACGAAGTCATGAATCATCCTAGTTGACGAGCGGCAATGGAAGATGAACTCACTTCCATCTACAAGAATGACACATGGTATATAGTGCTGGTGCCTCATAATCAAAAAGCCATTTCCATCAAGTGGATCTTTCGAATCAAGCACAATGCGGACGAAACTATTGCAAGATTTCAAGCCAGACTAGTGGCCAAGGAATTCCACTAGCGTGAAGGTCATGATTACACCAAAACATTCCCATCGGTCGTGAAATGTAATACCTTACGAAGCATCATATCACTAGTTGGTCATCAAGGATGTACAATCATACATCTGAACGTCAAAACTGCTTTCCTCAACGGAGACATAGAAGAAGAAATATAGCGCAGCCGCCTCCCGGATTCGTGTTTCCTACTCATCCTCACCACGTCTACTGGCTGAAGAAAGCCTTGTACGGCTTGAAGCAGGCTCCACGTGCATGGTACTACAAGGTCGACAACTACTTGACCACACAAGGCTTACGAAAATCCACTACAGACCAAAATCTCTACTTTCACGAGGACAACGGTCTCCTCACCTTACTTATTCTATATGTGGATGACATTAATTTGACGGGGAACAACCTTCCACACATTGCACAACTTCGGACAGATTTTCAAACTGCATTCGAAATGACCGACTTGGGCACCTTATCGCATTACTTGGGAATCGAGTTTCTACTCAGCCCCGACAGAATTTGTCTCGCATAATGCCAATACATTAAATCAATGCTTACAGACTTTGGACTCAGCGAGTGTCGTCCTGTAGAAACACCTATGGCCGAGAAAACACATATGCTGCCAGATATGGGAACGCCACCAGCCGATTCAGTCCTCTACCAAACAATAGTAGGCAAGCTCATTTTTCTGACCCATACAAGGCCACATATCGCTTACGCAGTAAGCATTGTCAGCAGGTTTATGGCTGCCCCACAGGAAATCCACACCTAAGCAATAAAACATATCTATCGGTATCTCAAGGAAACAACCAACTTAGCACTGATCTATTGGCAAGGGGAGGAAGATGATCTACTTGGCTACACCAATTCTGGACAAGAGACGCATACGACATGATATCCACCACTGGATATCTATTTCTGTCGGGAAGCACGCCTATCACATGAAACAGCAAAAAAACAAGCTACTGTTGCTCTCTCATCAACTGAGACCGAGTACATGGCGATCACCAAGGTCACCAAAGAAGCAGTGTGGTTAAGGAGACTACTTGGAGAGCTGAAGATTCAAGACTTGAAGAAATCTATAACAATTCACGGAGACAATCAAGGAAGTCTCAACTTAGCTCACAATCCGGTTTATCACGGACGCACAAAACACATCAAGGTAAAACATCATTTCATTAGAGAAAAGATTGCTTCCAATGAAGTCAAATCAAAATATGTTCCTATCAAACAGCTAGCAGATATCTTAACTAAAGCTTTAGGAGAAATGCTTTCGAACAACCCAGGAAAATGCTAGGGTTAATTGATCTAGAAACCTAAGTCTTCTGCTTCAACTTCAGTCTGTAGTACTCAGGAGTAGAACCGAAGCCATGATTCATTAAAGGAGGCCAAACCTGCCCACGAACAACTCCATGCGGCAGCAACTAAATGGGAGATTCGAATTGGCCCTCCACGTCCAAGGAAGTCGAAGCATCACGGCAGGAGTTGCCAACCGCACCACCATTACGACAAGCTCCATTCGATTGTCTCTGCAGGTCTAAAGGCAAAGCCGAGATAAGTGCCACATAGCAAATCCATCGACAATTGAACCACCAAAAAACGCAAATTCTCTCTCTCAGTTAGAGTTAGACATAGCTGCCTGTCAGCTAAAGAAGCGCTCCGGAAACAGAAATCATCTCAGTCCGGAGCGAAAGTGGGTGTTGATACTCTTACTCCGATAATGTTGGAGAAGATACGGAGATCCTCTGATAGTGTAGGAGGAGGCACCGAGGCCACTTGGCACGATAGGTTAGGATAAGCATGCACTTTAGTTGTAGGTTTATTACATTACCTTAGTTCACTTGCCGCGCACTAAGCAGGCTGCCCCTCGGCATTCTCTGTTCCGAACATGTATTGAAGCCACCTCTATTCAATTGAAAAAACATATGAGTGAAATGATTGCTTGAGAACACGATTCTCTACATACGGTACTAAAGATCTTGGAGATTTATGTATTTTCTCGTTTATGAAATCAATTTGAACTCTCTTATATTGTGCTGTTGAATAACCTTTGAGTTCACTTTGTTGAGCAGGTCTGTCAGTTATTTCTACATCTTCATACATTTGGAATACACAACTCACTCAATTATAATGTGTATTATATGGCATCTAGTTTAGCAAGACATTGAATGCATGACAATCCACATCCTCATATTCCCGACCTCTAGAGTTACTTCCTCGTACCCTGACAATAGTCACCGCAGCCTTGTCCGGGTCATAAAAGAGTGAAACTAAACCTGGGACACAAACACGATCGACTGTTTTCAAGGTCGAAGTCGTTGCAATTCCCAAACGTCGACTCTCGTTTTCTGCGCATTTGATCTCCACTGACGAGCATAGTCACAGTTGGTGTACTACGTGGACCGCGACACCACCCCACCACGGGATTCCGTAGCGGGGAATGTTGAGTTCTGCAAGGGTAATGAAAGGGATGTACCCGGAATAAGCACATTGAAGTGTCAAAGATAAGGAAAGTGCTAGACGTGATTTGTGAGTTGTTTTGGTGGACTCATCGGCGAGATAATGACTCTGTTTGTCTGAGAGGTCGTGTGTAGAACTGGTGCAATGTCAACCGCGTAAGCCCTTGAGCCACGAGAATACGACGGTCTAGGGGTGTCGTTCTTTAAGTCCCGGTCTCCTTGTGATTTTACACTTTGTGGGGAATTAAGAATCGGCTGGAAGGCAACATTCCCAAGTTTGCATTATGCATCACCCGTGATCGTCTAACTCGTTTGCGAACGATCAAAATTTAAGGCATCGAGCCGTGCAATATACAACTTTCTCATTTGATGTATCTTGAAAGCTCCTTTGCACACAGTCTGAATACATTCTAATTGTTTATAAATTATATTTGATGTGTGAGTTCATACCTCTTTCATGTTCCCCAGAGCTCTTCATGTAGACATGATACACACCATGTCCACGTACCATCCGATAATGATAATTCAAGATCCGTAGATGAGTTGGCTTTGCTTATGTACATTCGATCTCGTCTCACTCGTGTTTATATTATTCATGTCAATATATTTATCATCGCCCTCACCATTTTGCCTGAAGTAGATCAACACCTCAGACATAAATAATCTTCCGTTCTTATTGGGTTTACGGCACTTGAGACCCAAGTAATTGCCGATGGACAACACTACCTTCTCCACAATCTAGATAATTACTGACTAGATTGTAGATACGCATTATGAAATTGTTATTCACATTATCGAAACTATAGATGAATAAGTACGAATATGCACAGCATAAAAGTGAAGTGCTTTTATGAAATTTCTACGAACATGACAGTCATGTTAAAAAAAATGAAATTTCATGACACTGCCAAAGGAAAAGCTGTATTAATAAGTATCACATTATCCTGGAATTTCATACTAGTGCGAGTCTACTGGCCACTGCGACCTAAAGTAGAGACCTGCTTTGTTCCCCGTTCATCGAAGGGCCCCATTTCGGGCGTCGTGCCTGAATCTGACATCCTGCGGACGAGTCAGTAGCAGTGAATTGCATGCGTAGGTGGAAGCCTTTTTGTCGCCGGCATCACGCGGTACAGCAGTAGCAATCTGTAAGTTGTCAGCTCCGGAACATAGGACAGGCGGACGGACTGCAACTCATTCTTTCTCAGATGGTTTCTACTGTCGGGAGGAAAGTACTGTACGCTGCAGTAAAAGGTGTTGTCAGGTAGTGATCTGTGGAGCATTAAAAAACACATGCAGTCGAACGGAACTCTGGTGGTGGTGGCATTATACGAGACCCAGAATAGACGATTCACCTGGTCGGGAAGTGCTTCAAGAGTTGGTTTTTCTCTTGACAAGTTTTGTTCTGAATTGGCCTAAACGTGTAATTCAAAGAACTGGAAGACTCTGCAGAACGTGAACGTGATCACATGTACTCAATTTTCCATCTCTATCGATGGTTTTGGCTGCTGATAGTCACATGATGTCAAAATGTTTTAGCTTTTCATGTAAGCAGGAAAAAGGTCCAGATAATCAGCAGGATAGCAACTAGGTTGAACTTACGGTTCAATAATTCTGTCGGTTTTCGTGCATCTAAGAGGACGTGACTTCGTTTTATTATATATATGTACCTAGTATTGCAAGATCGTCGTGTATGTGGAATGTCCACATGAGCGTCCCACAGTACTTCGTCTCTGTAAGATGTATGTATGTATGTATATTTATCACTGGGGTACACTTGCCCAACAAACCCTAAACCCTAAACCCTAGTTCATGTCCTGCCAAGAAAGGAAATCTCTCTCCAGCCATTGCCATTTGAAGCCTTTGCCACTTTTTGCCATGAGACCTCGTTTTGCAACTCTACAACAAATAAGCATCATACATTTCTCAAAACAAGAGTAAAATTGTCAACAACCACATACTGGTAGAACGAGACAAACTACACATTCATTCACCACGGTAGGCCATCGAGAATTGACAGCGGGACAATGGAACTGCTTGCACCAAAAGGTGTTTTACCTCAAGAACCAGCTTTAAGCAATGCAGTGAATGTCACTTCAATGTACAAGTCAAAGAGTTTTTGTCTACGTGGATATTCTCCACAAACTCTGATGAGAATTATTCGGTTTCACCATGGCATCTTCAGCTGCGTTGTAGTCTAAGACATGAAACGTCTCTAGTGAATTGGAAGATGCTCCTTTCACAATCTCCTTCCACGAGATTGTGAACTGAAGCAAGCTATTCAATTGCTACTGCCCAGGCATGAACAGATACAGCAATTAACAGCTGTGAGAGACCATGGCTTCGATTACACCTACAGTGCACAAGTAGGTCTCTTGGTAAGATGCAAAAAAATATTTTAAGACTTGCAATATCAAAGCCTGAGTCCCTCTCTGAGCTTTGGATTATGATGACATTTTTGACAAAAATTTCTCTACAGACTTTACAGAAGACGCTTGCTTTGCTAATGTACAAAGGGGAGGCTCCCCAGCAAGGTGTGGTTTTTACTAATGTACAAGCCAGGCCAGATCAATCTGGACTTTGAGAGCCTGTCCTCTTGGCCACTTTCATTTCTGGCTGCTTGAACTGTGTGAGTCGTGTAGTCCTTTGAAGTAGTCGTAATGCCTGAAGGCTTTTTTAACATGATGTACGGTAGGTATGTACTTGCCACCTGAAAGCTGCAACTTGGCATCTTTGCAGTTTTGAGACCTGTTTATGAGAAGATGACCCTACGACTGTGGGCTCGTTGCAGCCCAGTAACTTGATTGGCATGAACTTGTCGGCGTGTCGTGGACTGAGACCCACTTCCAGTTCCCGTCGTCTAACTTCAAGCTAGCCACCTGCTCTCCATTGCAACAGTTGTCAAGAACGTTTCTCAAGCTGGAATACTGAACGGTAATTCTACTTACATTCATAGGTTCAGAAACTCAAGCAGTTACAATTGAAACGACCTTGTGCTTAATTTAGCAGCTGTCAAACTTACAGCTGGTTATGGATGAACTTTGAATTCTATTTTACAGAAGTAGCACGATAGCATACAATAAGAATCTCCATAGAGTTGAAAGGGCAGAAATTACCCGTCCATCTTGTAGAACCACCATGACGATTGAATGAGACAGCGCTATTGGTCGTACTGGGGACACCTGAGGCACGCAACATTAACATACCATCTCAATAAGTTCGATCGTAAACAAAGGTTTAAATAATTCAGACCGTGTTTGATACAGTCAATGAACGACGGCAAGGCAGCCAAGCACAACTCTGGATATTGCATCCGTGACGGCATCCAAAGGTTCCTGGTTACCTCTAAGCTGCATTCACCGTTGAAAGAAACATAGACGTCCATGACCCCGAATTTAAGATTGCTGAAGACAGGATTTGGTTCGGTTTCATCGGCTACTCGTTCTATTCCGATGTGGTCAGGATCTACCATGCTTCGAATATCCCTCTCAGCCTGAAGCACGGTTTCTGGTTTGGGATGACCATGGTCGCACCAGGACCACCGAGTTTCGTCCCAGAACCTGCTGTATAGTTTTCCATCAGATCCAACCACAAACAACCTCTTGTTGCCGATATTTGGTCCCGGAGAAGTGGACAGTGTAACTTTATAATCAGGGAAGCTATGATCTGTCCACTTCCAACCTGCAAAGGTGTCCCAGTGAAACTCGACCAGTCCACCATCTTCACTTCTCATAAAGAGCGATCCTCTCGTACTTTGAATGTTGGGTCGGACCACAGTTCCGGTGATGGGTGAAAGCAGAACGTTGTTGGGTTGAAAGTGGGAGATCCATAATCTGGTCACTCGGTTGAAGTGATAAAGTTTTCCATCTGCACCCACAACGAAGACCACTCTGTAGCGCAAAGTTTCTTGATCCAGAATCGCTGCAACTTCTGTATTCGGTGGATGCCCGCAATCACGCCATGCAAACTGGCGCAATGCCACCTATTTAGCACCACACGCTGATGTAAGCTTGATGAGCACTTCACAAATCACGAGCGAATTAACAAACAGAGAAACGCCACTCTCACTATGTCATTTACTGTTGTCTAGGTTTCCTTCGTCAGTTTTACATCTCTCTCTCTCTCTCTCTCTTGAACAGCTGGTACGAAGATAGAGATACTTTCTTCAGAACGAGAATTGTCTTGATATGCATGTTATCCAAATTGGAGATTTTATATTGAGTTCCTGAACTGTAATTACCGATTTCTCGTGAACACTCAAAAGTATCAGGTTTTCTCTTTTTTCAAACACAACTTCTGCAGTATTTCGATATATGCAATTTACTGATTAATGTAGCAAGTTTCCTTATTCACTCGTGGTCCGCCTTTTGAGACCATACCTGAAGTTTAGTGGAGCACCACTAGCGGAAAACTTACTCTTATAGAAGCTTACGAACTTCACTGAACAGCGGGTTCTCACAAGGATACTTTCCTACCATGCTGTGCAGATAAAGAGGGTAAATGGCAAGATACTTACAAGAAATTCCATCAAGTTACCAGCTTCATCGACCAAAAACAGGGCGTCTTCTACAGTGGCAGCATGTGCCTCGCCAAGTAAACCATGGTCCCAAGGTGGTCCAGAAACAACCTTCCTACCATCTTTCTCCGTGCAATTGAGCCAATGCAAAACATTACCGATTCTCTCGCGCAAAAAGAGATTATGTTCAGCATCTACAACAAATACACCTCCACTGTATATTCCCACAATTCCCGAAAGAGACAGCGAGTGCTCGTGCTTAAGCCACAGCCATGCTTCTCCGCTGAAAAACCTCTCAAAGGCTGCTCCATCTCTACCTACAAAGAATATGGATTTCTCGGCTTGCATTGTGCGGAGCATGAACTGGCTACTCACTGATCCATTCCAAGGAGCAGCTCTGAGAAGGGACGACGAACCCACGAATGATTTACTGTCCTTGACAACAGAAGCGGCTTCTGCTCGTGTTGCCGAAACGCCTCCTCCTCTTCGTCCTGTTCGTCCCTTCATTCCTGACCTCTTTCGTTGTGAAATATCCGTGCTGGAAACAGGGGGTTGCCATCCAGACTGACTATCTTTGATTCCCTCGAGACAATTTGCCGGTCCTCTAACAGAAGTACAATACTCTGCATTTCCTCCTTCCGTTTCTGGTGCCTCTAATATCGACCACGTGTATGAACCACCCTGCTTTCTGTCCCTTACTGAAGGGCCACTAGAACCTCCAACTACAGGACCTACATTCCCGCCGCCTAGCCCTGGGACGTGGAGCTCCCCGACTCTACCATCAATTAATGAGAAGAAAATTCTTCCTGGACTCAAAGAAACTCCTGGTACCGCTTTCACAATGGGAGTTTGGAATGGATGTCCGTGATCCAGCCACACGCCGCTCTCCGATGTCGTTCGACCGTTGCCTGAAATATTCATTGCAGTTGATATGCATCAAAACTCATGACGAGCTCTCCATCACTGCTACGAGATTAAATATTAGTTTGTATCTACCTACTCAACATAATATGAAAATAAGGCTAGACAGACGGTCATATCCGGAGTAATAAATCATACTAAAAGTAGAGTTGACATTATGTGTAAAACCTCATCAAGGCTTTCAACATGGTCTCCTCCCGGCTGAAATTTGGTTAATATGAATACGCTAGATATGACTTTTGCAACTCTTGGGCTTCTATGATTATTCATGTTATGAGTTGAGATGACTTGCAGAGATATGACAAAACAGGAGTACACAGGAATCTGACATCCGTTGTTAAAAAAAAGGGTCCCTACGGAAGCCAAAGACAAGTCTTGTTTCTCATTGTATAAAAACATCTGTTCCAAAGAATGCTCCTTACCTTTGACAATTTTGTACTCCCAAAGAACACCGTTCTCAGACGTGAGGAATAAGGAGAACATTGGTCTGCCGGGATTATGTTCTGCATCGAGGAGCAGGGGACCAAGAGAACGGCTAAGCGGGTCATCCTCATCTGGTACTGGATGTAGAATCCATCTCCATTTATTCAAATGGAATCTTCGCTCCACTAGAAAGCTTTCCTGGAGATACCCGAAGGATGCATAAAACGATATATTATTTATATGAAGGTTGATATAAGAAGATAAAACTTGTAGGGCGTCGATTTCATTTTTGATTCACGGGAATCCTCGTGCCAATTATCTTGAATTCATTGCTAAGGTTATACACAGGTATGAAAATGAAATTCTTTATTTGTACTTCCGTTGATGTCAAGAAGGATAAAGAGAATAATTGTAATAGAAATGCACAGAAAGATAGAGTGCATTCCTCTAAATGACATATCTCGACTCGATATACCTTCGTCAAAAGGAAGAGGGAGACACTAGCAGCCCCTGCAAGTCCATGCACAGCAACTCCGCTGGCTGGGGCTAGAGTCAAGTCCTCCACTGCAGATCCCTTTCTCACGTGCTTCTTCCATGCTGGCCTTGCTCGATAATCGTATTCGTACAAATCTCCGCTTGTGCTACACCATAGACATAGCAGTAAACATTGAGTATGTCAACAATTGCAAACAGAAGACAACATGTTTCTACCTTCAAATAACACACAAGACTGTATTATTGTTTTTTATACATGCATAAGAGCGTATCAAAAAAAGTACCTGATCGTGAAAGTGACTCCCGATCGAAGAGTGCCTGCATCTGCAACAGCCGCAATGTCTCCCCCACGAGGATGATGGTGGTTTAGCCACCTGTGAACCCAGCATAACTCCAGTCATCAAACCAACGTCATAGGAACCAAAGCAGCTCAATTTGGTTTGAGACTCCTGTAAAACCCTTTTGAGCTGAAAACCCAATTCTACTAACTTATGTTGACACCTAGACTAGAAGTTCAGCTTCTGTTGTCTTCTTATCTTACATACTAGTGTTTGTCAAGTACAGTAGTACCTGCTCAGATCTCACTATCTTAAAGAGTTTGTATGAAAACATCAGAAGTTAGGGTCGTCAAGACGTCGGTTTAGTGTTTTCCGAACCTCAATATGATATTTATTAACTAGATAGACTGATTCGTCAGATGAGTTCCAGAGAGATCAACTTTGAATACTCCTAGATGGTTTTATAGTCGAAACACGCAACTAAAGGTAGTAGGTAGAGAAAAATACCATGCACTTACTTCATAGGATGTAGAGTTTGGAGTTCAGTCAGCGATCCATCAGTTGTGGCGAAATACACTGCACTGGTGAACATCAATTTCTGATTTAGATCAGGACTTCAACATTCTCATTCCTGTACCCAGAACTTCCTCGACAGGTTCATTTCAAATTATCAATAACCCGAATTGATCCAACACTGGTAACATTGATTCTTGAACAAAAGAAAAGATGTTTGGAACTCCAATAGGAATGCCAGTTGCTTATACAAGGTTATGTATTTCTTTGAACTGATTTGATTGTATCAGATATCTTCAGACTTCAAAGTAGACATAATACACACGCAAGCATGGCTAAAAACTAAACCCCGCATACTGGAGATGGGTAATTGCATTAGAAAAACAAAACACTATTAATGTAAATGATAATAACACATCCAACAGAGGATCGTGGCAAAGACATTCTTATTCGATTCACCGATCAAATACTACTGGCATAGTTTCGTCCGCAAATATATGACTTGTGAACATGAACGTAAGATCTATCTAAAAACATTTAATTGTTCTCGAAACATGTATATTCGAAAGTCAAGGAGTAGAGAGAGAAAGCTACCTATCATCAGCAGAGACGAGGCCAGATTTTGTCAAGCTCACATTGCTAGAACTGACGCCCGAATCTTGAATGTTCGCTGGCAGCCATGGACCACAATTCACCCACAGCAGTTGCCCATTGCCGTCTATTTGAAGCTGGAGCAAATACCAAATTAGAATACAGCCCAGATGTTCATACGCAAGTCTCCTTATTCAAATTTCAACTTCCAGAGAAGACACAAGAGGAGGAAAAGAATCAATTTACAAAATCAATTTGTGATGATCGTTTTTAAGAAATTATTTAGCCGCAGCAATTTGTTCATATCTACAAAACGTACGTTTTAAAACCTGGGACACTACATGGCAATAATCTGTAGTAGGTTTGAAATAATTCACAGTTCACAAAGGAGATGATGACTTGCATAGAATCTTCGGAAAATCCTTCCAATACTTTTCAAGTGCATGACCCTAAGTGTAATTCATAGGCTTGGGTGATCACTCCGAAGCAGAGAGAAGTTGGACATCTCACTGGTTGGAATATTCATAGAAAGATGGTAGAACGTGACCCAACAAAATGGATAGATGATGTAGTAGATGGTTTCAGGGAGTCTTACACCTACTTCTCCAGATTTCATGGCACGATTCGTCGTTCAAGTGGTATCCTCGTTACCGTTTTAAATTAGGAAAATCATGGACCCAAATCTACTGCAACCACATAACAACTGAGCCTGAAATGATGTTCTACCCACAAAGAGTTCTTTAACTCAACCCGCCAGAATCCTGACCCACATCGGTGAAATAAAATTGAAACTAAAAAACAGGGAAGTGACGAGTAAGCTCTGGAAGCTCGAGGTTCAATGAGTGTAATTGAGAATAGATTTATGCGCTGGCCAGGAAAGACTGACATCATGTTGGTCAAAGTATAAAGTAGACTGCATCTACGGCTCTAATCGGCTGCTCTTCTCTGTGTATGTTGTACGTCCCTTTCAGTGACGAAAGTTCATACTCCTTACAGTCAATTTCGGAAATCACCAACTCTGATTAAAATCCGAGTTAGATGTCCCATATCCATGGCCCTTTACTTTAATGAAAACACGTCACGCAGTCTTTCCAACATCGGTCAACCTTCACGCTGTTCAAAATTCAGCCGGATTGGATCGTTCAGTGCTATGATGGTATCCAGTTGGAGTGCTGCATGGCCTAAAATTCAGGAAGGAGAAGACGATCCGGGAGTCTGATAGAGAAATCATAGAGCCGGCTGCGAAACTGCCCATCCGGAACTTGGAAGGCAATTTCGGATCGAGGAGATTAAGTTCGTCAATCGCGCGAAGCAGGAGCTAAAATTGGGCTCAGAGGGCGTGGTTGAAACAAACCTGATAAAGGATGCCGGACTCGGACATTGCCACCATGGTGCGATTCACGCTGAGGACTCCGGTGGCGCGACCGGCAAAAGCAGGTAAGTCGTGGGGGATGACCACCCACTGGACGCCGTTCCAGAACCTCTCGTAGATAGACCCGCTCTGCCCCGTGATCCACAGCGACACGTCCGAAAATCTGACCATCGAAATTCTCATCAGCGAAGTCAATTCCTCTGGCGGCGGCGCTTCCGCTTCGGCTTCTGCCGCCGCACCACTGCTGCTGCTGCTGCTGCTGGCGCTCGTCTTGCCATCATGTGCCGATGATCCTCCATCAGAATTCGTGTGCTGAGGACTAGCCCCCGTGCCTCCCTTGGCGAAGTGGCCCGACGAGAATTCCAGAGGCTGCCCGGACGGAGACGAGGATGAGACTCTGGTTTTGCGGCCCCCGCTGCACGAATGCCACCAGCTGCCATTATTGAAGAGGCACGAGATATCGGTCTCTGTCCAGGATTTGCTCACGCGATCATACGCCCAGAACTTGTTGGACCGCTGGACGAACGCTGCAGCGGGAGGATTGTGGGCGAGCTGTGCTTGCGCGAAGTTCGTGGACAGCGCCGAGAGGGCTATGGCCTCGTGGATGACGGCCAGTACCCAGAGTACTCCCAGAAGTTTTGACCCTGCCATAGCTTTCCTCACAGATCCGAGCTCCTCGTTGATGTCGATGTTGATGCTGCTGCTGTTGCCGCCTCTCCCTCCAGCTGCGAAAACCTTTTGCTTGGATGTCCACGATCAGTAAGGCTCAGCGTGAGCTTCTCAGCCACCATCGCTCCTCGCTTGTGTCCTGGCTTGCTCCCTCCCCTGCCTCCGGTTATAATTTTGCAGAGGTTGTTTCAGTTTATCTGCCATGTCATTTGCAAAACACTTGCATACGATTAGGAGAGGAAGACAGTTCCAAATTGGTTTGAGATGCAGTCGCAAAGCTCATACATGCGTGAATCTAAGACACATGGGAAGTCCCAGACATCATAGGTACGGGACAGGAGTCTATTGAGGTGCTTAATTCCCGAAGATGGGGCGGGAGGAGAGGTAGAAACAAATTACAGAGCGCAGAAAGTGTGGAAGATCCTACAAACGCTCGACAGGTAAGGGGCAGGGAGGACATATGACGGCAATTCGACGTGAATATTTCTTTCACGTCAGAAATGCGAGTGTCCACATTTGCAACGATCAATCTGCACAAAATTGATTCGAGCTTCCTGCAGGCAGAGCTGATGCCTGGTACAGGTGTCGTCGGAATCAGAATATAGATGCCACTCCAAGTCGAGTGGAGGCCTTGCCAGGGCAGGCAAGACTAATCCCCGATCCAGCTCAATTTCTACCTCGACCTTCTCATAACCCCCAGTAAGAAACCATGAGCTGGGCCAGATCACAAACCGGTGGAATTGCTCGATTCTCCCTGTCAAAGTACAGAGGCAGAACTTGATCCCACAAATTCGTTTTCACCTTAGCCCCAACGCCACCCAGCGCGTGGATCTGGTACGTTTCCGAACCCAGATAAGCTGTTAAGCCCCAAGATCTATGGAAATTAGATAGGGTGCCCTGGGGATGATTGTTGAATGGACTGACAAGCTGCGCAGGGGTAGAGAGGGAGAGAGAAAGAGAGAGGGTGGGGGAGAAGAGAAGAGAAGAGAAGAAAGAGCCCACAACTTCGCCCTTCGTAATTGAAGCGATGGGAGGCAGTGTCGGAGTAGACTAGTAGACTTGCTGACACAAGAGCAAGCTAGAGAGAGAGAGGGAGGGAAGGAATAGAAGACAGGAGAGGAGAGGCGGAGCGAGGGGTGGGACGCCGCAGCCAACGAGGAGTGCTCCCGAAAGGGAGAGGCGGGCAGACAAGAAAAACGAACAGATTATTTTGCAGAAAAAGACACAGACAGTAACAGCCTCGCCCTCTCTCGCTCGCTCCCTGTTTCTGTAGGAGAGGGGTCAGGCTGAGCCTGAATGCTTGATTACCAGCACCACCACCGTTGCCATGCCAACGAGAAGATGCTCCGGAGGGCCCACGTGCTTTCGTTGGGTTCGCAAAATCGCTCACAAATCTCCACACTACTACTTCTACTACTCTAACTTCTCATGTCTTCCATTCCATTCCCTTCCCCTCTGTTCCAACAATTCACTCTCCTCCCACCGCGCAGCCCAATGGGCCCCTCCATCCCACAACTAAAACAAAGCCCCCCTTCCTGTAGCTGCAGCAGCAGCTGCTCCTCTACCTTACCGCTGCTCTACACTGCACTCCCTCCCCATCCATCGAATCGAATCCCCTCCCCTCCGCTCCCACCTCCCTCACATCACATCCCCCACTGCAACAACAGCACCACATTTTCATTCTTTCCTATCATTCGGCTCTCAAAGCTGCCTCATCTGCTGCCCCCTGTCTGCCCCTGCCACTGCAACACCTCGCTCCCATCCCATCCCAACCCAACCCAACCACGCCAGTGGACCGCTCTCGATGTTCTTCATCCTCGCTGCAACAGCAGCAGCACTAACAGCGACGACGACGACGACGACAACTGTGGGCTTCCACTTCGCAGCCTCAGATCCCAACTGTCCCCGAGTCTGAAAAACAGAGTCGCAGGTTCCACACAGCAGCCACAGCAACAGCAACAACAGCAGCTGCAGCTGCTGCAGCGGCACCGCACGCTTCCCCACCCAGTGCCCCCCCAACATTCACAGCTCCTGCTCCGCCCCTCTGACCACTGTCAATTCGCCATCATCAAGCTCCCGTCCGCTCTCTCGCTCGTCCCCACATCACGTATTCGTGATTCCCTTCGCGATCTCGGTCGCGATATTCTTCTGCCGACGCGAATAATAGACGGCTGCCGCCAAAGCGAGACGCGAACGCCCCTCCTCATCCGTTCAGCGCCGTCATGACCTTTGACCCGTCGCAGATCAAAGTCCTCCCCGCCCTTCGTTCATCTCTTGAAGTCCTTGCCCCCTTACTCACCCTCCTCCATAGCGCTCGACGGCGGTGGCAGATTTATTCAGATCAAATCGAAATCTAGCACCACCGACGTTGAGAAATTCGCGAATTCGCTCACAATCATTGTTCCATATCCGATCAGCGCGTTGTGCCGGTTGCCCCGTCTCCGGGAACCTCGCTAAAGCTGTTCCCGGCGTACTTACTTACTTCTTCGGCGGAAAGTCCAGACTTACTTACTGTGGTTAGTGTTCACTCTTACCGGAGTGGCGCGATTATTAGTACCGCGTAGGACGGCCGCGCACTTCGGTCAACCCAACCCAACCCAACCCAACCGGGTAATCGGACCTACTACAGTACGTGACTGTGCCGCGGGACATTGTACTGTGGCCTGTACCTGGTACTGCTGTCTGTTTCCTGTGCGCGGCACTGGACTGGCCCCCAGAGACTGCGGCCTCGATGCATTTAATGCAACAGGAATGGCGATGATGCAAAATTCCACGGTGCAGCTTTCGAGCCCGCGAGCTGGGAATTCGGTGCTTTCCGTTCACCGGCACTGTGGTCACACTATTCGCACACCTTACAAGGGGTTCGCTCACTTGTATCTATGCGCCATCGCTCTTCCTCGCCGCCGACGACGAGAGCGAGTGGTCAAAGAGGCGAGCTTCCTAATTATTATCGTCCTAAGCTCATTTCAACAACTGAGGATCGGGTGGTGATTTAGATCCATTGAACCCATCACTTTCATGTGATGAGTTCAATGGCTACCCTTCTTGTGAACTGTAGTTACGTGATTGTTTGCAAGTGAGTGAGTGGGTCAATTCGAGACGTATTTGGGGGGCACATCAACTCTCGTGCGCTGACTGCAATTCATGTTTGGCTTGAGAGCCTCGAGATCTGGATTAGCTCACAGTGCGACGGGGCAGCCTTGAGTGAACCTCCGCATGAAATATAAGACGTCAGAAGAACGTCAGCTGGATGAATCTCTTCCACTCTCTAAGATGGTAAACCCGTCAAACGCGTTTGAATACTACACGTCCTCCTCACTCGTCTACCGTAAATAGTCCTCCATCCACTCTGCAAGTGGTTCGCACGCACACAAGATATGGTTGCTAAAATACAAGAGTGATGTTTGTAACGCAGTGTCCCAGATTCTAACCTTCCTTGCCTTTTATCCCAAACTGGTGTTCTTATCTTATCGTGTCTCACTCTGATCGCAGCATTTACCACAATAGTGGAGATCTCGACCTGCCACTCGACTCGAACAGATTGTTCTGTCGGCAGGGCCCGTTTCTCAAGTTAACCACAAAGACGTGACTCATAGAGATACAAATTCCAACCATTTAACTTTTGTTTACGCGAATCTGCTCGGGATGTGGTGTGTGTGCCACCCCTACCCCATGTAAAAAAGATTCTATTTGCTACTGGAGGATATTCTCGCCATTTTGCCATCTAAATGTGAACTTAGGCTGGATCTCCAGCAGTGGCCGAGGTCAACAGGTGTTTGGCCGAACGTGGAATTTGGAAACTATCAATTGCAAGAGTTTGCCTCAAAACTTTCTTGGTCTCCACTCGCTGCATGTTGTGATGCACATTAACTGTCCTCTCATCGAGGACTCGACATCACGATGTCGATCACGTTGGCCTTCGCGCTGCGATCAGGTTGGAGGTAGTGATCAGTATTCGGGAGGTGGCTGGATGGAGGTTGCCCCGCCTCAACAACACATCCGAAGACAACTGCCGACTGTAATCCTGTTCAACCGGATTAAACATAATAATCATTGTGTGACAGAGAGCACTGACGAATGTTGTACGGGGACGTGCTCGAGCTATTTTCCGGACTATAAAGTCTCCACTTTTTGAAGGAGACCGATAACGACAGAGGAAAGGACTCATGTCTGCACATGAGTCACTCCACTCATTGCCATACCAATGGACATTTTGACGATACCTCTTGCTCGCCTCAAACGGAACCAACATAGAAAGTTTGGTTCAAAAATGCTTAAGATGAGTGCTGTACTGGACATTAAGAGACCATCTCTATGTTAGTTTGCACCTACTACCTACTCCACAACCATGAGTTTCCACATTGGCTTGGACGGCCATCATTCACATGTGAATTATGAAGATGTAGATAGATGTCACTAAGATAGCTGAAGTAGGGATTCACGTGACTATGTAGCTCATTTGACATGCATATGAGAGTTACGTGTTATGCCACTAGAGATTAGAGATATGATTTTTGCTATGGCTCAGGGTGCTGGATGTATGGTGTAGAACAAGGTTGGCATTTCTTGCAAACAGTTTGAGTTCGGGTAGCTTGTATTTGGTCCAAAAGTATCATCTAATTCTTGTAAAAAGTTAAGGATCTTTACTAAATTGGATGCGTGATTATCCATCAACTTGGATGGATGTCATGGGTGTTCGTGTGGATCAACGCAAGCGAATGTATCCAAGTATAAGGATATTTAGAGACATAATCTCTGTAATTCTTCGAGCTTGGGTTGACTCTCAGCTATATGCGTTACATTCACAAGTTTGCAAGCGACTAGGAAACATATGAAGCATGCAGTATCCCTCCATTAATTATAGAGCCTATTTTAGGCTGCATGTACAAATTGATCAATCCCAACTTAATCACGTTATGTTCTGATTCTTTGGATTCATACACTAGAATCCGTTAGACCATGATAGTTAATATAGACTCTGTGAAATAAGAGTGCTATGGAGCCTAGCCCATCTTAACCTCCTGGACTATCCTTCTCTGACTTGATGGGATCTTCCCATCGTATTCGCTACATTACTCGGTGGCTATAATTTCGTACTATGATTAGGCCGACAAGATACTATCAGTCATAGTTCAGCTCTTGATTATCAAGGTAAGCTCAAGCTAGTGCTTATGATGGTAAACGCCCTCCGACTTTCGCCATAGTATGTAGCCACTGTCGGTCATGACTGATGATGGAACTGTGGCGGCTGTAGCCAAATTGCCGTCACAGTTTGCAATTTGCAAGCCTTATCTGATCGTTTACTGGCAGTTTGCGGTACAGTAGGGTCTCCACTCGTAGCCCCACCGCAGGAGCTCTAACTCCACGCTTCGAACATCGCTTTCGATATCCTCGTTGCCAGATTCTCGAGCGCTTTACCATAGTCCTACCACAGGGTGCAGTCAAAAATTCATCAATGACGAGGGAAGCCTAGACTACAGCCATGACTCCAGAACAACTCAGAGTAGATGTCTAGCCTTTATTGCTTCTCATTATTCTTCTTCTTCTTCTTCCACCCTTTTCTTTTGCTTCCGAAGCCAACTTGTTGTCTGCAGGATCATCTCCATGGAAAGCTCGATGATGTAATTTCTCTTACCCTTTGGAGCTCTCGTTCTCCCAGTTAAATAATCTACCAGGTATTGTAAGAGGAAAAATAAAACGAAATACTGAAAAAATGTGTACAACAAATGTCTACGTCGTTTTTTGATAAAAAGTCCGGAGAATTTCCATATTGCTGTGGCTTTGCTTTTCCATTCAATTGTATCTTCGATGGGGACTTTTGGTCAACAAGAGATTGTCACTTGAGAGCAGAGACCACCGAAGGATGCCGTCTGTGCTGAGAACAAAGGCTAATGGACTTGGCAGCAAAGTGCTTAGCGTGCAACAAAGGCCAGAGGGCACAATGCACGCAACGCATAGCGAACATGCAAATTAGGCCAAATTAAGTTGAAACCCGGGGAAATGTTTGGGAACAAACATCGATGCCTTGGGCTCGTGGCATCGCACTCACTAATTTTAGTGGCCTTGGATCCCCATATTTGAGGCTCCATGGAGAGTATCTGGTGGAGAGTGGGCCCGACGGCGACCATGTTGTGGGCAGCATGTCTAACGATGCACACAATACATCGAAAGAGACGTGGTTTGTGGGGGCAGCGCGGGCCCCCGTGGGCAGGGGTCCAAGAATTCGGGGAGCAGCGGTTTTAGGTCACATCCAAAAGATTCAAATTCCACTCGAGTCAATCATTTGGACCAGCTTTTTCCCGATTCGCAACCCCAGCCCGCCCAGATCGCCATGTTCTTGTCCGAAATCCCCCTCCAGTTCTTGTAGCCTCGGAAAGTGCAGTCCTGCCCTTTCTTCCACAACTGAGCAGCCACGAAACCGACGGATCTTCTTCCCCGCTTCGTCCCCCTTCTTCCTCCCCCCCACCATGCTGATTCTTATTTCCAGTCGCCGACGTGCCTCTCTCCCCCTTGGGGATGGAGGGGTTCCAAATACGAAGCATACAGCACTTCTCCGTATCTTGCTATCCACCTGCTCCTCCTCCAGTTCCATGACTCCAGAGTCCAGACGTACGTCCGAGCAGAGAAGCCCTTCTGAGCTCTTATCTGTCCTGGACACGTAAAAGGATAGAGGGTGAATGTAAAGAGGAGTTTTCAGCTGCCACTCGAAGCAATAGATATATATCTCTGCACGAACGAAGCCTGAAAATGAATTGTGTAAATACGTGTACCTGATTGGAAAAGGGGGGGAGTTGGGATGAGATGTCGCCCATCAAAAGACTCCCCATGCCTGACGGGCCAATAGGGAAGAAGGTGTAAGAGATGGTAGCCCATCCATGATCGACGTTCTACATGTAGGAGCTGAAGTTATCATTTCTGCGGGACATTTGCATGAGCGAATGAGTAGAAAGTGGATGTGGGAGAGATCGAGAGGATTAGGAGAGAGAGAGAGAGAGAGGGAGAGAGGGAGGTCTTCCCACCCTTTTCTGTTATCCACTTGGCCCCCTTGCTCAGAGAGCATTGTACGTGTTTTCTTTTGGCGATGTCGTAGAGACCAATTATGATTTTGCAGTTGCGCTTACACCTTTTCGCCTGTCTACGGGATGGAAAAGACGACTCTAGCTGGACACGGATCAGTGACTGTTGTTGTGTGTCGTGCTCGGTTCCTACGAGACGAAAGGGGTAGACTCGGTGGAGCCATTTTATCTGAACCCCTCCATTGCCAGGCCAGAATTAGCAGGGGGCTGCACCTTCCCTCTGGCGATGGCCGAGCGGGGTCAAACACGCACAGTGAGGAACGGAACACACTGCAAATGTTTCTGCGCGCGCACGAGTGCGAGAGCTCCAGTGAGGAGTTTGCTTCATGTGCGATGATCGGCCTCGGCTTCGATCCCGGAAATGGACAGGGAAGCGCCAAGTCCGACGATTCGTTTGAGAACGAGCGTTTCCCACTGCTCACTCGCTTTGCAGTTTGATTCGCGTGACGGGAATACTGAATTTTATTGTATTCGCATGTCGATAGTGTGGGATCTTCTCCGATTTATATACCGGCTGCGTGAGCTTGGTCCTCACTGAGATATGCCTTGCGTCTGTGAGTTGACAGAATCTCCACCAGACAAAAATCTTTTTGTGAGGTCCATCGCCGGCTCGAAACCGGATTCTGTGCGAAGCTCGAACCTTTATTCTCGGGATGATGGACGAATTATTTGTGTGAAACTCAAGCTCGCCGAATCTCATCGATTAATGAGTTGGGTCTTGCACCTGTCTCAGAAGTTGTGTGTGGATCTCTGCAACTGAGATTCTCCTCTCCAGGCAATAGCCTCGCCGGAAACCAGATTAAAGAATGTGACTAGAAATCTCCTCCACCACCCGAAGCGCAACCATCTGATTCCTTTCGATTTCATCAAAAAATATGATCAGCTGCTTGAATCATGGTTAGCTTAGCTTACTCTCTGATCAGGACAAAACCTCCCACTCGTAAATGAAAGGACCTTCCATTGACCGGAAAAGCTGGCATCTTTCAGAAAGTGTGCTTGAGCTACGTCTTGAAGCATTGACCGATTGATGAGCTCGCATCGATTGATTCATTAATTTCTGGTATCTTGAAGAAAGATGATGTACACCCCTTAAAATAGTTTCTCTGCTAGTCGATCTATCGATGGATCGATCGATAGATCGATTGATATCGACCCTGCATTGTACTCCGTAGACAATTTCATCATTTTAATTTTTTTAATAAAAGAATTTTCTTTGTACTAGTCTTTGTCCTTGATGCGTTCTAACTTCTTGCTTTGTTGGGGGAAGGTTTGGACTTTCTGGAGTAGATGTGGACTAACGTAGGATGTCTTCTTCTCGCGTGCGAAGTTCATCGGACTGGTTGGTAAAAACGAATTTGCTTACGTGATCCCTCAGTGAGTACAATGACTCGAGGTGACTTTCTCTCGAATGAGGAGGTGTATTTCTGCGGTCAAAAAGCACTACCGTCGATTCAAATCACCGTCTTTTCAGCCACTGGTCACATCTAAAAAGCCCTTTCCGGTTTACACGATCAAGAGAATATTGATGAATTTGATATTCATTAAGCTGCTATATTGATCTAGGAAATTGACATGAACCGACAGATCTTGAGAGACTTTCTTTGTTCATAGCTAGGACTATCTTAAAATTTCGTCAAAACCCTCTCAAGTAGAATTCTCTACCTCCAGTATAATGTATTACGAAAATCAAGTTCGAATTTAACCATTTTCATCCTGATACACAATCGATTTTGGGGAAAAATCACAAGCTAAAAGAAGAAAAGCATGAACAAAGTTTCACAAATGACTTTTCCGTTCGTATGTAACATGTTTGAAAAAGGGTTGGGTTTAAGTCTTTGATCTGAAGCCGTTGTATTAGCTTTATCACTTGGCGTGGCTAAAACAAGCTATAGGTGTTTGGAGGTAGACTTGAACAAGTATATTAAACTGATTTCCAGCACATTAACGTGATTAAGTTGTGGTACTTTAGCTCTCTTTGCCCCTCATTTCTCAACACTAGCACCCATAGTTACAGAGAAGCATGCTCTTATAAGAGTTTGAAATAAGAATTTGGATTATTTGCTTCTACACTGAAATCCCTTGCAGATTACACACATCGTAGAATTGTCACTTGAAGATTTCTTCTCATGACTACATGCCCTCGCCAATGAGTAGCATGAGCACCAGAGTATCTACGAGACTGTACCTTGAGAAAGGCAAGTTATATCATTCTTCTTGTCTGTCTTTCCTGCTATTTGGAAACAAATTGTGTTCCAAAATTGGCCTATTCACAATATTTTAACTATTTTCCCCGAGATTTTGTGGAATATGCGCTTAAAGGAGTATATGTGAGTTATAGGGACCTCGCGGGTTTGAGAAGCTCATCTTTATGTTTTACTATGGCCTTACTCCATTACTAACTTGCATTGTATCAAGCACTATCAAAGTTCATTCTCCATCCACTAAGAAACATTTCTCTACAGTATTCGTACGTGAAACTTATATAGATACAAAATAAAGTTGTACATAGATGTAAATCTTCAATGTTGATCGACTTATCATGCCTTTACAGTTCTTCTGCGATGATATGGTCAATTTTATACTTATTTTCTTGGATTTGTTTTTCTATCTAAAATTTTTGAAGGCCAAGAATTTCGAAGAAATTTTTTTCCCACAGAATTTTCTTCTTTACTATAAAGAATGGGTTCACTTTATTTTTCTTGTATTTTATTATCTCTTATATTTTTTTTGATATGTATGAAATTAATCATTCATACTGCTCACATTACGTCTTTTATTACAACATTCGGTGAGCAATTTTTATCTTTTAATGAAACCTAGCATTGTTTCTTTTCCTTTGATCTCTATCATAACGAGATCTACAAATCTGGACCATCATTTCACAATTATCAACTACTTCGATTAAGAAAAACTACTACAGGTAACGTATTAAATATGTAATAAAGTTCCCACTACATTAAAATCAAACATCATCATTTGTTAAACCGGTTCTAAACATGACCGGGTGATCTATAGAAGCGCGCACACACATCCAAAAAAAAGTTTGAATTATTACAAACACAATATTTTTTTCTCTAGCTAGGTAAATGTAATAAGTTGTCTACTTTTTCTTAGCTATATTTTACGTTACATATATCATTTCATGCATGAAGCCTCAAGCTTGTTGTTATCGCAAGTGTATCAAGGAAGAATTTCTCGGCATTATTTGCACGAGAAATTACGAGTCACTAAAATGAAATTATATCAATTTCATGTGAATACTATGTTTGTTTATTGTGAGCAAAGATAATTACTTGCGGAGATCTTTACAACTTTATCATATTATTTTTCGACATAGAACATTTTCTTATAGTCTTGGAAGGGCAATGGTTGAACATTGATAGGAATGAACGTGTTTGTAGGCTATGTGATGGAAGAAAAGTTGAGTATAAATAAAATTTGTTTGTTACTTGTATTGAATGTATAGGGATTAGAGTGTCTCATAAAGTTGTTGTTGAGAATTTTTTTTGTTTACTACATTTTGAACCTTAAGATTTACGTAGTTTTATGAATTATATTATTAGTTTTCGTTCTAGTGCTATGGGCACTAGCTAGGATGGTCTTTTGGTTCTCTCCTGGTTTGGAGTTTGTTTGTACTGTGATTTTTTAGCCTTTTGACACTTTGGGTCCCACAGGCTTGATCTATTTACCATTTGTAGCTTCCCTTCGTTTGGAGTCCAAATTATTCATGTCAAGCACGAAAGGAAGTTCTCGCATGCGTCCACACACAGATACACCTGGAGTCTGAAAGCCACAGCAGTGTAGTCAGCTCGATAAGTCACAAGTCAAGTTCAGAAGAGTTCAGAACACTTTGTCTAGAATGAAGCACTGCTATGCGGACAATGCTGTTGACATGTTCATGGACATCTCCTCCAACTGCAAGGATATGTCTTCTTTCACTCGAACATCAAGGACATTGCTAAATATGACCCCAAAATCAAGAGCGGCCAATAACACACAAATAGTCACATGAGTACAGTGAGGGGCACCCTTCCAGAAGACCTCAACTCTGAAACATGAATGCAGATGACATGAATGACAACTAATATCTTTGTGTGTGACAAATGACAACTAACAATCTAGTTCCATGTTCGCCTTGATATTTTGAGAGTCTTGAGCTAGTGACAGCACCACAGCATCTGTTTTCAGATTTTGTTCGCTCTACATACAATTTGGGTACTTCCAAAGAAACTGCATGAATTTGTGATCTTCACACTTTCCATGTTTGTCCCTTATGAGCTCAAGTATGCTTGACCCTACAGCTTTAGAGTCATCGAGCGAAAGCCATGTATCTACATACATGCAGTTGTGAAGTCCACATACGGATTATGCATCAGGTAATAAAGAGCGAGGATTGGAAGATGAGTTCGTAAAAGCAAATGTTATTCATGGGAATAAAACTCCCATTTTCACAATAAGTTCGATTTAGCAAAATATATATTATATATCTATCTATTTGAAGCAGCCATGCTGCTTAATCGCTTCGACTCTCTGCTCATAATTTTTTCACAATTAAAAGACCAGTCTCTGGTTTGGATTCGTGTCAGCTAAACCAATGAACAGCAGAATCAGAATCACGAATTCACCAGCAAGAAAGTTGAGACTCACTATTGGTCCACGAGTCGGAAAGTGTTCAAGGATTGGACATGTCAAACGCCAAACCTGGACCTCATTCCGCTCGATGCAGCACAACTTGTACAAGCGAGTCGGTTGGT